GGGCCGGCTAGGGGAGTTAGTAGAGGAGTTGGGACCTCACGAAGGGTGCAATGAGGAATATCTAGTGACCTTCGGGGGTTGGGAAGAAATACCGCGGTTCATCTCCAGCGAGTCGGTGGAGGTCCCCCGTTTCATTTTTAAGCGGGTTTACCACTCCGAGGCTGTTAAGAAGGCGGTAGGACGGAGGGTTTCCATCCTATGTCAGTTCAGGTTTACAGGATCAGACCTACACACCTTGTTAACTTGGTATTTTTGAGATCCCTATAGAGCCGATTGGGCGACTCTGGAGGACCTGAGCTACGCATTTGAAGGATGGGGCCACCACGCGAGGGAATCTAAGATATCGTGGAGGTACCTAGGTGAAATCTGCGAGGGAGAGCTAGCGGGGCTGGACCCCTCTGATTTGATTCGGGTAGCAATCGCGTGTCGTCGACAAAAGTTAAGGAATGACCGAGCCGGACCTTGAGGAGCTAGTGGGGTTGGAAAGAGTGAGGGAAGAAGTTCACCGGATCCTTGCTCTATGCTGGGAAGAAGAAAGGAGGGCTAGGCCTGGGTCCTTAGCCAGGATCAAGCTACTTGAGGTGACCACAGTCGCTATCCTCGACGAAGTCACGATAGATCTTCTCTCGCGGTGAGGGGATGAGAGCCTCATTCGTCTCCAATAGGATTCGTTGGGAATTAGAGACCTACGAGGACGGTAGCGATGTTAGGATCGAGGGAGGTGCTGAGCTTAACCCGGAATTGGGAGAGGACCAGGTGGTCCGGGCAGAGACAAAATCTCTAGTGGAAGTCCGAAGGCTAGCCTTGTGGAAAAAGAGGAGCTGGACCACGCTGACTGCCTTTTCAGTCCACATTAGAGACGCGAGTGGCTTGAGATTCTCTAGGGCTTGGAGGGAGCCTTTGCTGGAAGTAGAGAGAAAATTTGAGGAGGGCACGCTGCTGACATCCAGGACACACCTTGTAGAGACCCGATTTTGGGATAGAACTGGAGAATACGAGGAGGCTTTGCGCCAAACTCTGAGAGGGTACAGAGAGGTCGGTCGTGTTAGGTGTGAGGATTCACTGTTAGAGGCCGCTGCGAGGTTGGCAGGCGTGAGGTGAGGTTCCTATGATTAGATACGAAAGGGGAGACCCCTACGGTACCTTGGATAGGGTTTTGACGTGGGGAGGGGAATATGGAGTGACTCTCCCGAAAGATAGAAATACGTTATTCGTTAAAATAGGACATTATATTGTGTCCTCTTTCAAAGGAATTCAGTTTCAGCTGCAGCCTAAGCAACCTAGGCATACCCATCCACTCACCCATCCACTCGCCCCATATGCGGAAGTGTGATGAGATCCATACTTGTCTATAATGAGCAAGGTGTGCCAGATATGCGGAAGTGTGCCGAGATCCATACTTATGTATAATTCTGATGAGCAAGGCGCCTTGATTGTGTCCTTATCGGAGAAGTTTGATAAGTGTGCTGAGATCCATACTAAGTCTTATTTTCGATTGTTATGAGCAAGGCGCCTTGATTGTATCCTTGTCGGAGAAGTTTGATAAGTGTGCTGAGATCCATACTTATTTCTAATCGTGATGAGCAAGGTGCCTTGATTGTGATGAGCAAGGTGCCTTGAGCAGCACAACCTGCGACCCCCACTGATGGATAATCACAGGAACACAATGACGTCGACTCCTTGTTGTGTTTGAATGTTGGAACATCGAAAGTTTCGGTGGGCAGAGTTGAGGAAGGGAAGAAGGGAACTACCGCGCTTACTGCTCCGGGATTGAGCCTTCCCCCAATCCCCCATAAGAGCAGCGTGCGCCGGCCCGCATCGGGGCCGGCCACCTTAATCCAGGCCGACTTCATGTCGGGCACAAGTCTTATGGGTGCCACATAGTGCGCTGCGTTGCGGTGATACGAGCGGAAAAAGGGATTTGAACCCCCAACCTTACGTTTCTCACACATGGCTTGTGAATGATGTAGCGTAAGCTCACGCCCGTGCCTATATAGGCCAGGCGCGCGCTCGCAGCGGAATAACCAACAGGAAAAAGTTATGGGTGCACCCGAGCAGTGGGGCGGAACAGGCAGTTGGACAGCAGGCGACCACTGCGGTGAATTCAGAGAAACCAGTACCCACATAGAGTTGGTCCCAGCGAGGCCGTTACGTGATGGCGCAGGGGCGACTCACGGCACGCGGCAACGCAAGAAGCGTCGTGGACGACACGTGGAAATGCAAGATGAATCTCACGTTCGCGACTGTGTCTAAAACTGCCATGCACCCCAAAAATAATTTCCACAAGTGGACTAATTCTAAGAGCAGTGCAAAAGCAGAACAGGACGAGCGCATGTGAAAACGAACGAGCACTGTCATCGAAATTTTCGATATCGGCGGACTACAGCCTCTTCGCCCCCCCCCCGACATGAGTCTTATGTAGGTTGTCGTACATGCAATAATAATCATAGAGTGCAACACGATTTGTTCCACTGCACGAAAAGAGAGTGAGAGAACGTCATTTAAGGGCTAGAAGACACGAGAGAACACATATGTTTTCAAATAGCAAAATTGCAGACCGTCGTGACAAGCAAGGGGCAGCAATCCAATTTCACGCCTTACTTTCCACACACAACATACAGAGGAAGTGAATCGCACAAGGCACCGACATCGAAAGTTCGGATGCCGGCGGAGTACAGCCTCTTGGCCCCCCCCCCGACAACAATCTTATGTACCACAACTTACATAAGATTGTTGCCGGGGGGGCGAAGAGGCTGTAGTCCGTCGATATCCGAACTTTCCATGTCAGTGCCCTGTGCGTTTCACTTACAATAGAAATCATAGAGCGCAACACAAATTGTTCCACTGCACGACAAGAGACTCAGGTGATGAAGTCCACACATGAAAAAGTCATCCAGCTACAAGAAAACAATGTTGAACTGCACGAAATGAGTACAACTGCCATACCGACAGTGAGCATCCCAAAGACAAAGAGAAATAGACCCAATGAAGAAAACAGTGTTGAATAATGTCTTATCTTACCAAATACAATTGTCATAGAATGAAATACATTTAAAGAATTTTGTACAAGTCATTGAAAACTGTCAAAGATAACGTCTTTCCAAGAGAGATGTTGCCAGTTGTCGTCTCATAACAGGCAAATCTTTACTCGAGAATCTGAAAGGGGGTCGATCACCACGTTGCAACAGCGTTGCAAATGTCAACATTAACACCCCGCAACTAGCTCCATCAACTTGCCTTGGAACTCCTTCCACAATAATTTTTCTGACCATAGTCTTCCAACTCCTATCCGACCGGCTATGTGAGGTACGACGTTCTAAATACTGTACAATCAACTCGAAAACTCTACGGTAGAAATTGGAAACGGCTTTAACGCGAGGAAAAAAGTTAAAAATTTTGAAGACATTGTCTCTCAAATTAACGGAAAGTAGGATCCAGTGATCGTTATGTTTGTGCACCGGAACGAAGATCATATCGAACTGATGCAGATCAACGTTTTTATCTCACCTCTCCACCCCAGTGTGTCCTCGAAGTTGCAGCATACTGAAGAAGAAAGAATTGAAGCTGAAGATTCGAAGGCCTGATGGTCGTGCACGTGTCGCGGATGCCGTCGACCCCAAAAGGGCCATGTAGAAATTCACCACCTCATCGTTGATCTTGCCATTGGCTTACAAAAGGGTGAGCATATCTTTCGCCGTGATTCTGAATTGATCATCCGCAAAGGAAGAGAGGGGATGATGAGGAGGCACCACGCTGCGAGAAACATCGTCCATAACCCACGAGACTTGAGGCGCAATCGCCGTAGCGAAATGCCCCCCCCAGGCTGCTGGTGTTGTGGCCCAAGCTGCACATCATCGACCAACGCACACGCGGGGAAGTGAGAAAGGAAGTTCTAAAGGTTGTCGTTCACCGCACGACACGTCGCTAAGTATTTTTCATACATGGCCTGACCCCTGGTCACAGATCGTGGATATGTCCCCTTCTCCGCAGGTCGAAGGGAAAGACATTCGTCAATGGCTAAGGCATGCTCCTTCTCTCCAATCTCGACATCAACCCCTGATGCCTTTAACATATTCTTGTTTTTTGTCGTGAATCTCGGAAGTTTTTGCAATACACGTGCCGGATATTTCGAGAAACTCCTTTTTCAAGACGACCGGACCCCTGTAAAACAAAGAACATACAAAACCCGAAATGAATGTATGATTCCCAGGGGGAGTTCGGCGAAAGTGACAATGTGAAAGATAATGTAGCCCACAAGCATGCGTGCATTCGGACATAAAACGACGAGCGTTGTCGAGCCCGAGACCCCTGCACATGACGACGAAGACCACATCAGGCCAAAGAAGAGGAACGCCTACCAATGCTGAAGTTCGGATTTCGGCAGACTTGCAGCTACATCTAGCAGACACTGACCAGCCGGGTTTGGTCCTCACACTGGAACTGCGGTGACCGGAGAAAACCGGAACTTCGAAGGGTATGTTTTCTAGTCCGCCGGTATCCGCACTACAAGTGTCGGTGCGAGGTGGAAAGTCGGCATTTGCCGATGTGCGGATTCCAGCGGACTTGCAGCCACAATTTGCAAACACCGACCAACGGGGCGTGCTCCACCTTGCACCGACACTTGTAGTTCGGATGCCGACGAACTTCATAATAGACCTTCCGTATTACCGTTTTTCCGGTGGTTTCCGCAGTTCCAGTGTCAAGACCAAACCCGGTTCTGCGACCTGACCTGCTGGTTGTAGCTGCAAGTCCGCCAGAATCCGAACTTCGGCATTTGTAAACATTCCTCTTCTTTGGCGTGATGTGGTCTTTTGTCGTGCGCTCGTCGTTTTATGTGCGAATGCACACAAGCTCGTCACTGCGAAAATCGTTCATCGGACGGTCTGTCTTGTAGTCCGCCGATATCCGCACTACAGGTGTCGGCCAAAGATAGAAAGTCGAGACGACGACAGAGGACTTGTAGAGGGAGGAGCGGATGAGCGGTCGCAGAATAAAGCGTGACGGTGTGTTAAAGAACAAGAGGCCAATTGGTCCTCGCTGACAAGTGAAGCGGAATTTTGTCCATCTAACGTGGGTCAGAAACCGACAAGGGGGTTGACAGACAGCGTCGACAATCCCGAAACGCGGGAGTGCTGACATCGCAACGATCGTCGATTCTTACCAGCTTGTTTTTCTTTCCGCTCCTTCGTCGGCGACGTGGGCGTTGGTAAGGCGAGGACAGCCAGGGCCGGAGTGCCTACCCTGCACTTTTTCGGGGACATGACGTGCTGGCGGCCCCCAACAACCCCCCCCCTTCCTCTTGTGAGCGGTGACCAGGGTACCGGAAAGCACGGCAGGATGAGCGCCAAGTCCCCGGCCGCGACAGTTTCGTTGCTGAGAAGGGCATCGTCTTTTGACGGCGTGGACGAAAGTGTTTTAGCTTGCACGTCACCAAGTATGCTATTGATGACCTCGCTGACGCTAAGACGGCGAGTCGTTTTCGCCGGGCTCACTGTCATGATAGCCTCGTCGCACCCATCGGGGGGATGCACCGCCGTGGCCAGGTGGTGGGCGTCATATTCTTCGTGGTCCATAGAAAGGCCACTAACCACCTGCATCCCCATCTCCATCGCCGTTGCGTCGTCGTCGATATCACCTTCACATGGTCTGGCGTACACCAGACCGAACGAATCAGATGTCTCCCCACAGACATCCTCGTCTCCGGCATCCACCCTTTCCTCGTCTGTAATACTCAGTCCTCCTTCACCGTCTTCCCTGTCGCGCAATGTAATCAACTCCTTCTCTCGCCCTTCGTCTCCTTCTCCCCCCTCCTCCCATTCTCCCCCTTCTTCCTCGCCCTCGACTTGCACCCATTCTTCCCCCCCGTCAGTCTCACGCGACTCGGCTCCTTGCAGCCTCATCAAGGCGGATCCCAAGGAGCGGTCGTCTTTATGAACAGACGTAGCACCTTCCTCCGTCCCTGCCTCCTCCAACTGCAGGCACATCACGGACGAAGTACGGATACCGGCGTACTTCATCGCAAGGAAGGCGGACGGCGCTGCACCAGCAATCTCTCTCTGTGACTCCACAGATCGGTCTTGTCCAAGGGTCGGCGGTGTCGCCTCCCGCACAGCCAGGGCGACGCCATCTCCGACGCCTGTGCTCCTGTAGACCTCCACTGGACCGGTACACTCGCCTGAACGTCGTCCGCCCTGGTAGGGATGCCCGCGGACTTGCCCTTCACGGCGGAGACAGGATCCCCTGCACATGAGCCCCGCCCCAGTTCACCATAGGAGCCGAAAGCAGTCCACGAGGGAAGGGTTGCCTGCTCCAGAGTCGTCTAAGTGCGGATGTCGGCCGACTTCGCAGCCCCCACGTGCACTGGGTCCTCCGTCTGTGAAGTTTGGATGCGGGCGAACTTCCCCGACTTGCCGCTCCCTGCTGTTGGGGAGTGTGTGACGTTCACCCCCCCTTCCCCCACGCCGCTGTGCGCGATCCTGCCCTGACCGCCAGGCGCAGGCGATGACGTCGGCGCGCTTCCCCCTGATGTCGTATGGCCACTGCCTCCGCCAGTTCCTTCCTCATGGCGACTGCCTCCCCCCCCTCCGGCCCCGGGGGGGCTCGGAGGTCCTCCTCCCACACTACCCTGGGTCCCTGTCGACGGGGGTACTTTCCAGTTCACCTTTTTCTTCGAAGGGCTCGTCTAGAGGTCGTAGAAATCGTCAGATAGTTCCAACCACTGCTTGTCATGAAGTTCCCGAAACAGGCGATCAGCAGTGGCAATGATGGCCGGGTCGGCGGGCTGCAGGTTGTTGTTCTCTGACGTCACTTTGTCCACCACAGCACTCCTCGCGATATCTAAGTACTCGGACTTGGCCAGGCGCTCGGACGGCTTCGCAAGTCATCGACATCAACGAGTGGGAGGCGGCATACAACCAGCGTTCCTTGGATCCCGTGCAAATACAGGTTATTATTGACGCAATGACGACGGCCTACTCTCAGACCGAGAAGACTTACGAGCTGCCGACACTAAAGCTCGCGCCTCTTGGGCTGGTTAAACCGACGCCCGGGGTGCGGGCGGATCGTCTGAAGCCGGAGGACTGGAGGGACGAGCTGGCAGGGCAATACTACTACTACGCTGTGGCGGGCCAGCATAACGCGGGTGCAGCCAGGGCGCTGCTTGGCACCGATGTGGCGGTGAGGTACAACTTCGAGCGCTGGCCTGCACGAATGGTGTACTTCTCGGACGAGGACTTTGAGGGGTACTTTCTGGTCAGCGCCGAGGACAACAAGAAAGACCTGAAGGCCCCTCCAAGACAGCTGGAACTCTCCATGAGAGACATTCGGTGGTGTTGGAAGGAATTGGGTTACTCGAAAGCTGTTATGGGTAACCCCAGCGGGAGACAGGCGCAGGTGGAGGCATGGCGAAGATTTTGTGCGAAGCAAGGAATCAAGAAACAGGACGCCGTACAATCACTTGTGGACTCTCGCCGATGACAAGACCGAGCAAGGAATCAAGAAACAGAACGCTGCCCTTCGATCCTATTTCCCGCTCGCGATGGCAGGGAAAAGCGCATGGGAAACGGGGATGGAATTTTTCGAGAGATAGGAAACGGGCAGACTGCTGGCACCGGAAGGAGCGAAGTGGATCGCGAAGAAGAAGAAGTTGCAGGGCCTCAAGCCAGGTGTGAGCCACACCGAAAAGGAGAAGGACGAGCGAAAGGTAGTCGTCTACAATGTGCCCATCGAAGGGCCACAAAAGAAAGGCAAGAAGGAAAAAGAGTCAGGCGACTGGTTCGTCTAGGTCACCGAGCCGGATCCGCACTGCTGAAAAAGCATGGAGGCCCTTACCGACAATGAGAAATGCCAGTTGGTGAAGAAGGTTCTCAACTGCGAGGTGGTCTGGGTGCAAATAGGGTCCTCCGCGTTGGCGAAGCAAGGGAAGCTGGGATGCAAGAGGCAGTGCAACTGATGAAGTGCGATCGCATATTGGTGTGGTTGTGGAACTACTACCAGTTCAAGCATGAGAACCGGCCAGACAATGACTGGACCACTAAGTACCCCTTCCTGAAAAAACAAGAGGCGATTTTGGCAAAGTTTGAAGGGCAGGGGCTGGATGCAGCGTTGTGGGACGGGAGCAGGAAACTTGTCAGCGACTCCTCCTTGTTCAAGGACTGTCCGCCCTACATGGGTTGTGAGGACGACAAGTCGATCAAGGCGACAGAAAAGCTAGTCCAAAACAAGAAGTTGCCCATCGACTGGAAGAACAAGGTCCTCTCCGTGTTGACCGGCAGCAGGTCGAAAAGCATGGAAGTCGCGCTGGCCGAACGGATGGTGCACATTTTGTGGAACGACTCAAAGGACGTCACAACTATTACCCCGTTTGGCGTCGACCCTCTAGATGTGCAGATGAAGGTTGTGGAGTTGGAGAGGGCGGTCGGAATCATGAAATGCCACACGTGCGTTCTCGACTTGTGCGAACCGGTGAACATCAAACAGTGGACAGCTAAAGTCTTCGAGAGTTTGAATGCCCTCCTGGAGCACTTGTTCCCCTCGCACTGGATAGTAGTCGCGTTCGTCCCCCGTGAGCACGACTACTACTTCATGACCAGCCTGCACCATCTATCCGTCGTGAAGGCAATGGCCGGGAAGTGGGTGAGGAGGACACAGCAGAAGAAAAGTTTCGGTGTCGGCCACAACTTGTACGCCTTGGACGACCGCATATACATCCTTTTCAAAGGCGACGACTTGTGGGAGAACACATGTGTTGTCTACGACGCGAGGTTGGCGACGGGTGATGCTCCCGCGGTGGGGGCACTTCAGAAAGTGACTCCCACTGAGATATTCCACATTCCGTTCGACACTTGTGAATGGCCCGTCGTGATACATGGGCGTGATCCCGTGGTGTACAAGGGCCATGAGCGGAACCCCACAATTTCGCCCATCTGCTGGAATTCCTTTGCAAAAAGGGGGACGGCATCATGTTCCTCGGGAAAGCGCACGCACAAGTCGTGTGAGAGGTTTTGAAGGGTGGTCGCAACGTTATCGCGTTGGAGGGGAATTCCGAGTGGTTGCAATTCACGTTGGATTTCCTGAAAACCTCGGTCAACTCGGGATCATACCGCTGCGAGTTCATTACGAAGAGTGAGAAGCCGAGACGCGTTTGGGATCCTTCGACGGACATATGGTTCAAGCTAAGCGCCCGGAAAAGGATCAGGATCTACGAGTTCCTCTTCTTGGAGAAGCGGCCTGCGAGGGGCACCGACATCGAGTACATGCACCGCAAGGAACACATGTTGGCGCTGCTAGACAACTATCACGGCGCCACGTGCCTGAACGCGAAGAACTTCCTGGACCGACCGGAGTTATTGTACTTTGTCAAATCCGAGCCGGTCCTAAGACTCGAGAGTTACGGTGCCTTGATCGACGCCGACGAAGAGTCCCTCACCAGTGTTGTCTTCGACACCGGTGCACCTGAGGAGGATAGCGACCCCGAGGAAATTGACATCGACTACCGCCTTGCTCCGGTGCCCCCATCCCCGGCCTCCTCGTCGGCGAGTCCCTCAACAAACCGCCCTGCACAAGCGACGCCCGTGCGGAGGACCCCTAGTAAGTTGTTGGCGAGATTGACACCTCGGCCTGCTGCGCCTCCTCCTCTGCGTCCAGGGTGTCAAGTCCCCCTGCAACATCCTTCTCGGAAGGATGAGAACATCCACTTCGAAGGGCACGACCACACGCGTTCCACGGAGGCAGACTGGGGTCATGACATGATTTGGCACCCGGGGACGATCCAGCCCGCAATTCGGAAGGGGGAGTGGGTCATGGCCATAGTCGACACTGACGGGGAATGGAACTCCCGCTTTGTTCGCACGCCGGTTTTCCATTCCAGGAAGTATGTCGCATCGATGTCGATGACACCTCTGGGCTGGACAGGGGCCGACTGGGGTGGCTTCTGAGCTGAGGTCGGGCACTTTTGACTCGACGCGCCGACATGCCCCTCAGCTCCCTTCCTTTTCCCCCCTGACTTCTGTGGGGTCTTTGTCTTCTGCTTCTTTTTAGCTCCCGACGCCTCCCCCTCATAACCTCCCCTTCTCTTTTGTGTAGAATGCTGTTCCCCTCCCTTCCCGCTGGAAACGACGCCAACTGTCCTGTCCTCCGACCCCAAGCCGAGACGGCCACCCGACGTCGACGGCTGCTCGACGACCATTGCCCCTCTCTCAGCCCCCGGAATTCTCAGCGTCCCGCGATCTCCGAGTCTTTGCGGCGAAACTCGCGTGTCCTCCTCTTCTTCCTCCTCGCTGTCATCAAAGCGACCGCGTTCCTCACCTTACCGGGGCTGTACTGAACCATCGAAACCCATTTCCTCACCCTGTCGGGGCTGTACTGAACCATTGGAAACGAACCTGGAGCACATTTGCACAGGGAGCGACAGTTCCACTCACTCGAAATTTGGCAGGGATCGTCGAGGTCGAAGTCGCTCCTCTCGACCTCGTCAAAAAACTCCCTGGCCGAAATAAGACCTCCCTTCGCGACTTCGGTGTAGAAAGGGGTCCTCAAAGCCCCCCCACCAAACCCCTGGAACAGATCCCACGAGAGAATCGCCCCTTTCGCACCTACCATAACGTCGCCCTTCGAATTGTAAACGACATGCATCAGGTAGCACTGCTTGTCGTGGTTTTTCGATGGCTGCCATCCCTTGACCGAGTCGAGCACTCTCGAAGATGACAGGACCGCAAGGCGGTTTCATGGGCTCGTCATCTTCGGCGAAGCACCAATCGACGAACCACTTCGTGTGTGCATGATTCGACCACGATTTTGCGTTCGTCGACTCCCTCCCCGAGGTCCCTGTAGGCTGCTCCTCGCCTCTTGATGTAGACATTGTGTCTGCACCAAACGTAGCGGAGGATGCATTCGAAAACAAACAACACCGCCAACAATTAGCAAATGGGGAACTTCGGATACCGGCGGACTAAAAGCTAGGCAAATAGAAAAGCAGAACACCGCAAAGGGAAAAGCAGGTGCGCTGGCGGCGACCGAACAGCGTAGAGGGGAATGGTGGTTGTCGACAGTTAGCGCACAAACGGGCAGCTTTAAAACTCTTTATAGCATATGTTAGAAGTTCGGATTCCGGCGAACTTCGTCCATCGGAGGTCAAGATTGCGCACGTTTCTCATAAACAGACATGTGGTTACTATAGAAGATCGCTCTACCATCGGAGAATATCTATCATGAGCGATGTCCGGATTCCGGCGGACTTCAGCAAATGTTGATGGGCCATTGTGACAGGGTCCGACCTTGTTCCACCAGAATCCGAGGCAGACGGCGCATGAAGTTCCGACAGAGAAAGACGTGTTCGCGTAGTTCGGATATCGGCGAACTTCCTATCTTACAAGCATCATAATGGTCGACAATTGTGCATGGTGATTGTGCATCATTGGGAATCAACTGGCTGGCAGACAGTGTGCAAATGCCATTACACGAGAAACCTTGTCGGAGGGCAGTTCCGTTCGCGAGGTGCGAAACTCCGCTCGAAACAGACCCACATCAAACAATAAGGTCCACCGAACTGACCACAGTTGCGAATGAGCATTCCGAAAGACTGCCCGAACAACAGATAACCTGCGGGATCCGGGGGGGGTGTTCTGTTTGTGGAGTGCGAAACTCTGCTCGAAACAGACCCACATCCGACATGAAGGCCCCAAAACCTGACCCCAGTTGCGATTGAGCATCCCGGAAGACTGCCCCAAGAACTGATAACATGCGGGATCCATATGCTGGTCCGTGAATTACCTGGACTGCAGTCGTTTCCTCACGCAACTCGACGAACCGCAGAGCGGCCTTTGACACACCCACGCATCACCCGAAATGCGAAGTTTGTCGGGATCCGAACTTCTGGAGGGGGCGACCGGAAGAGACAGGGCGCACTTAGTTGACAGGCTGGTTGAGAAGGCGAAGTCCGCCCACATCCGAGCGTGGACGAAACGAGTCGTCTGGGCAAGGGCGGACATGGGCCGTTGTCACATGAGACCGCGAGAAAAAACGACAGAGCAATATGAATCCGCACTTGTGCGGTTACCGGAACCCGAGATGCAACGGAGGTCCACACGCACGTACGAGGTTTGGTGAAGGTGGGGGTCCGACGAAGGGGCATAAGGAAACACACAGTCGGTTCGAAGGCATTGCAGAAAAGCGAAGTTCGCCGCGATCCGAGCATAGGGCCGGTGTTGGAGAGAGACGCGAGGTGCGTGACGAAGGCTCTGCACTTTCGGGTTCAGTGCAATCAGCTACGCGTCAGGAAAGCCACGGCGTCGGAGGACAGACAAAAGCGTGTTGAGATGGATAGCTTGGGCTTTGCACCACACGTGCGCCATATAGTTTCTACTATCAACTAATGCCTCTCACACCTCTCGCTCCTTTTCCCTCAAGCACGAGGTCTGACAACCCGCCCAGATCTGGTTACATTCGGGGTCCCTCGGGGACGAGGTCGTGACCCGAAGCCATACATAGCATTCATTGGAGATCCGTAAACGTGGATCTGCGGTTCTTTGACTGAAGCATTCTCCGAAAAGACGGACATGTATTTCATCCAAACGAAAACTCCCGGTCGGGCTAAGGAATTCCCAATACAGTCCCGTACGTCAGACACTTTCTCTTCCACTGCATGCCACAACGAAAATTTTTGGACCTGCCCTGCTATTAGGAGGTCCGACCACCCATCTACACGTTCTGGCCCGCGCGCTTCGACGAATTTGGACCCCTCAATTACCACCACGTTTCGTGACACAAGCACAACTGCATCGACGAGTTTCCTACTTTTGTTACAAGTGGCGACATACAGCATTCTGGCGAAATTGGTTCGGGATACAGTCAACCTCACACAACAGTAAGACACAGCTTGTGGAGAAAGATCAGGGCAACGGAGCGGGTAGTGCTCCGGGAACGAGCAGTGACGAGCGCAGTCCAACAACTCTTGTTTTAGCGAGTATGTCCACGTGCGTGGTGACGACGTGACGTAGTGACACTCTAGGCGACTGAAATGGCGGCTAATGCAGCTCAGTGTTCTGCACATACGGCTCAGGAACTTGTGTCCGAGGATAGCGTCAGGCAGCGTGATGAGGTCTTCCAAACTCCAACATGTTGGCGAACTTGTACTGGCTTGCCTAAGGGCATCGACTCTCCATCGCGGCCTAATTGACATCGTGCCAACCATCAAGATGCCTGTCCATGCACGGGACGACGGTCATCCACGGGTCCTCTTCGAAGTCCTTTCTGGTGGCTCCGTGGATCGAAGTCATGCCGTTGAAGTGCCTCACTGATTTCGCACAAGGAGGAAACGGCTCTGCCAAGCGCATGTGCGTCTCGGGACTCATGGTCTCCGGTATAGAGAATATCGACTGCATGATCCGTGGTGTCGAGAAGTCCCCTTCCATTACGCACCCTAAACACCACGGACACATATCAAACGAAACACACGGCCACGCACACAGTCGTAAACGGAGTCGGCAAATGGCCACTCCCTTTTGCCATGCCTACACACAGTCGGCAGGTCACGAACTGTATATTCACGAGGTTCCACACGCTTTCAAGTACCTCACATGCACAGGGGAATGCGGCCCAACGACAGGGGACCCAATGACAGGGCGGATGACAGGCGGAAACGTGATGTTGGCGACACCTGTGTACAACACCTGTCTACAACACGTTTAACATCCTGATTCGTAAACACCCCACAGATGAAGCTACAGGAAGTTGGAATTATTCGGAGTCAATTCAAAAAAACCTCGACAGATGCGGGTCGAAAATGCACGGTCGCAATGCGAAGAACGGTCAAACCGAAGTGTTTGTAGGAAAGCAAAGTTTCTGCGGGATCCGAACTTTGAGAAGGTGCGAGAGACTGGGAGATAGAGAGCTCTCCGCCACAAGACGTTTATAGCAACGCGAAGCGATTGCTTAATTCCACTGCCCAGGAGAGAAACCGAAGTCTCGTTGGAAAAAGGTCGATAATTGGTAGTCCGCCGGCATCCGAACTTGTGTCCTTCATGCAATCAACGGGCCGCCGGAAACACCAAAGTAAGAACCTGCATC